TGAGGTCCGAGTGCACACCGGGGACGCCGCACACCCCTGGCAGGGGGCGCCGTGTGCCTCGGGCACCATGGCCAGACGTCTCCGCTTTGCTTACTTTAACTTCTTGGGAGCGCGGGGACTTAAGGAGCCCTTTGTGGAGCTACAGCTTAGTCAGTCTTCCTTCGCGCTATTTCCCAACAGTCTCATCTGATCTGGGTGGCCATGGGCAAGTTACCTAACCTTATTGTGTCCTCCTTTCTTTGTCCATAAAATGAAGATAAGAGAATCTGCTTCTTATTGTAGTCAGAGATTAAATGAGTTACAAAGTACAAATTGTTTGCAGCCACGTCTGGCGCACTGCCTTTTTAGAAAAGCTCTGTGTTCAGACTTCCTGGGTTCTTGCACCTTCCCTGGGGGGTCCAGCAACCCGGAGACGTTGCTTTGCCGCCCGCCAGCCCTGTGTGTTCATCCGTAAAATGGGGACATAATAGAACCTAGCTTGCGGGATTGGTGTGGCTATGAAACAGGGTTATGCAAGTAAGATCCGGGCTCACACATTGGATTTAACAAATATCAGCTATTACTGCCAGAAAATAAGCAAAGTGTTGTTTTTCCTCTCTGTCCAAAGGGGAGCAAAACCCACACAATGCTCCCGGAGGATACTGGGTAGACATCCTCTGAGGTAAAGTCCTGTCTCAGGTGCGAGACCTTGCAGACCATGGAGTGGAGCCTCTGAGGTCAAGGCCAGGCCGTCCTCTCTGCAGCCATCACAGCTTGGGGGGCAGTAGGGCAGCAGGACAGCTGGCGCAGCCCTTCTGGGCCACAGAGAATGAGATCAATAAGGCCAAGCAGACCTTCCCATGGAACAGGGTGAATCGGTGGGGGTGGGGAGAGAGGAGTGATGACGAGGAGAGGAGCTTTCATCTCTGCCATAATGAGGTACGGCCACCCACCCAGCCTCATGCTTCCGAACAATGGCCAGCCACTACACTGAGAGACAGCAGCTAGAGCTGCTGGGGACAGAACTCGGCGTCTTTATTTCTAGGAGCCCTGACTCTCTGCTCCTTCATTTGATTCTCTCAACAGTAGAGCAGACAGAAAAGAATTGGAGTGGGAAACCCCATTTCACAGATGGACTAGAGTCAGGAGAGACAAAGAAACTTCCACAAGGTCACGAACACCTGAGTCCTTCACCACCAGCCAGGCCGTTGGGTTGAGCACAGGGGTTCTCGCCCTGGGCTCTTCATGGGAACACCTGAGGGGCTTTAAAAAGCTCAAAGCCTGGGCCAGGCTGGTGGCTCAGTGGTTGTCATGGTCCGATATCCAGTCAGGGCTCATGCCCAGTTTGCAGGCTCGATCCCCAGTGTGGAGCGTGCAGGAGGCAGCAGATCGATGATTCCCTCTCATCATTGCTGTTTCTCTCTCTCTCTCCCTCTTCCTTCCTCTCTGAAATAAATATATATATATTAAAAAGTATAATGCCTGGGCCCTGCCAGAGCCCAATTGATCGGAGCATGGTCCCTACACCAAAAAGGTTGCAGGTTCAACCCCCAGTCGGGGCATACTTTGGGTTTTTTTTTTTTGGTTTTTTTTTGGTTGTTTGTTGTTTTTTTGTTTTGTTTTGTTTTATTTTAATATATTTTTATTGATCCCAGAGAGGAAGGGAGAGGGAGAGAGAGGTAGAAACATCAATGATGACAGAGAATCATTGATCGGCCGCCTCCTACATGCCCCACCCTGGGGATCGAGCCTGCAACTCAGGCATGTGCCCTGACAGGGAATCGAACTGTGACCTCTTGGTTCCTAGGTCAACCACTGAGCCACGCCGGCCGGGCCACTTTGTTCTTTGCGAGCTCGGGCTCGGGGCCTGCTGAGCTTCCCAGCTGGACTGCGCCACGGCGCTCCGATGCGCTGACGTGTTCTCTGTCCTCTTTGTTAGTGCAAATCGGTTTTGGACCCGGAAGTCTGATCTGAATGGATCTTGTGGGCACGGTTGCGGGTGGAATTGTTTTCTCCTCGGCAAGCACAGATGTCTGACTGTCTTTTTGTGATCTGTTGATGCTCAATGTCTAGATTCAGCAATTCCTTGGATGTTGCAAAATGCTGTTATTCTATCACTTCTTTTTCATTTATTTGTTGGAATTCTTTTAAAAAGAGGTGTTTACTCTTAACAACTCTGTGTTTATCTAGGGTTGTAGTTGATAGAGGGGAGGAGGATAAATGCTTGATTCTTTTCCTTTATTTGCCAGATTTCAACATAATGAGTTAATTCCTTGAATATTTGAAGGGATCATTGAAGGTGACCAATTAATTTTGTTGGTTTTTTTAAAATCTAATCTCTCATTTTAAAAATGAGGTAACTGAGAGCCAGAGAGGTTAAGTAACCGACTTACCATCACACAGCACATCGGGGTCAGAGCTGGGGGGAGAGTCCTGTGATCCTGCCGCTCCATTCCTTTTTTTTAAAAATATATTTTATTGATTTTTTACAGAGAGGAAGGGAGAGAGATAGAGAGTTAGAAACATCGATGAGAGAGAAACATTGATCAGCTGCCTCCTGCACATCCCCCACTGGGGATGTGCCCGCAACCCAGGTACATGCCCTTGACCGGAATCGAACCTGGGACCTTTCAGTCCGCAGGCCGACGCTCTATCCACTGAGCCAAACCGGCTTCGGCTCCGTTCCTTTTAACCTTCCCCCTCCAGGAGCAGAACCCAGACCGAGGCGCGAAAGCCGCCTCTGGGAATCTCTGGAAGCTCTGCCCAGCTTCGCCCCTGTGCCCTGAGCCCAGTGCGACTCACCAGTAAGGGCCTGGCGGCCTGCGATCTGTGAACTGCTCCTGAGAGGGCTGAGTTGCCAACCCAGGAAATTCCGCCTGGTATCAGGGAGCCGTGGGAATGTGCCCAGGTTGCTATGGGAGGCCTTCAGCCCTGGCTGCCACAGAGCACCGCACTGCCAAATCAGAGCAGAAAGTTCCAACCTGTCAATTAGAAGAGAAATAGGGGAAACCAGCTCCCACCATGTTAACGAGAGAGAGAGAGAGAGAGAGAGAGAGAGAGAGAGAGAGAGAGAGAGAGAATATTTGGTAAAGGAGGTTTGGGAAATGGAGGAGAAAATGGTGAAACAGGGTTAGGAGAAGGGAGAGTATGTTTTAACCCTGTGCATGTGTGTGTGTGTGTGTGAGAGAGAGAGAGAGAGAGAGAGAGAGAGAGAGGCTGCCGTCTCCTGAGGACTGCTGAGCAGCCCACCTGTTCACACCTACTTATGTAGCTGATGACCTCAGACCCACGCCTGTCCCTCTCTCCCCTCCCAGCTCTGCTTCCTGCCACCCCTCCCATCCCGCCTGCCTGGCTCCTGGCTGGGGAGGGAGAGTGACGGCAGCAGAGAGGCTAGTGAGAGATAAGAACAAGCTCTTTTATGTAAGGATGCAAATGTCTGCTAACGTGTGGCTTGGAGAGCCAGTCAAGGACAAGGACAAGGACGAGGACGAGGACCAGGACGAGGACCAGGACGAGGCTGCTGCCCGGGCCTGGTGTGTGATCTGAAGCAGCCTGTTGTGGCTACCGGGGCTGGAAAAGAGAGTCGCTTGGACTGCACTCTTGGAAGCAAATGAAACTTTAATGGTGGGCTCTTTGGCCGCGGGTGCTGAGAAGTGGGCCACTCCCGTGTCCCTTGGCAGAAAACGCCGGAGAACTTCAGCCTGTACAGGGGGAGAGGTGTGGTGGGCAAGGTGATGCAGTGGAATGTGCTTTTAAATTTCAAGTTGTGAGCTTAATTTAGTGAGCTGGGATTAGCATATCATAAAAAATGGAATAAATAGACAATAGACCAGTGTGCATTACAAGAAACCCTTTTTAGTGTTTTGTGTGGGAGTGGGTGGGTGGGTGTGTACCATGTCATGTGTATTTTTTACTGTGAGTCACAGCCAAGAACTTTGAACATCATTGCTATTTTAGGAAGTAGCAGGGGTGAGAACTGGGATTCAGCGAAGGCTCTGCCATGAAATTGCTGTGTGACCTGTGGCCAGTTGTTGAACCTCTCTGATCTTCATTTCCTCATCTGTGAAGTGAATGAATGAAAGGAACCAAAGGATGGGATCAGACTGATGATTTCTAAGGTTCCTTCCAGCCATCATGTTCTGTCGTTTCTAAGATAAATGAGAATCCACCCGTTTTCCAAGGTTGTCAGGAAGGAGATGCATCCTCTCCAACATCCCCGATTTCCACTAGGGCAGTGATGGCGAACCTATGACGCGTGTCAGAGGGGACATGCGAACTCATTTTTTTGGTTGATTTTTCTTTGTTAAATGGCATTTAAATATATAAAATAAATATCATAAATATAAGTCTTTGTTTTACTATAAAACAAATATCAAAAAATTTCTATATGTGACACGGCACCAGAGTTAAGTTAGGGTTTTTCAAAATGCTGACACGCCGAGCTCAAAAGGTTCGCCATCACTGACCTAGGAAGAACCTTTCCTCTGGGGTTAGTTCACTCATCAGTTCACCAAATATGGGTTGTTGTGTCCAACACTGTTCACGGCACTATACACATCTTAGTACAGACTCTATAGTATAGACCAGCTGTGGGCAAACTACGGCCCGCGGGCCGGATCCGGCCCGTTTGAAATGAGTAAAACTAAAAAAAAAAAAAAAGACCGTACCCTTTTATGTAATGATGTTTA